TATATATATATATATATATATACTAGTTCTTCTGCACGTGCATTGCACGTGGAAACTGAATCATGTAGTACATTTATAAAATAATATTAATATTCTTAAAATAAAACTTTGAGTAAATAATTATACATGAAAGAATAAGATGTAAGTTTCTCTAAATGATCAATATGGATCAACGTATTGGTGGCTTGTTTGTCGAGGTCAAGATGATTGAATATATTGTTCGAACCTACAAAGATGAATAATTAGAGTTTAATTAGATATATGCATGTGATTTTTTTACTTATTTTGCTTGTATGAGGTACATAAACGTAATGAAGCATATCTCACCTACTATTTCCTTATAGATGATGTGTATAGTGTATATCCCTTTCATCCATTCTGCTAGCTCAGTCATGACCACAACTTTTATAATGAACATATAACATACATCTACTTGACCAATAACCATGGTAGAAGCCTGATCCGATCCTTCTAAACCTTCTCCATAAGTGCAAGTAAATGTGGATTATCATATTGGTAGGCGTTGATCTGCTCAAGCAATGACAACTATGCAACCAACACAAGCATACACTGTATTCAATACTGAAACATACCCCATGAAACGCTGATTAGCCAATGACTAAACCTCCAAGGCTAATGGACATATCTCAAATGAAAGAAGATCCATCTTTCCCATGGACTTCCAACTCAAGGCATCCATTATTACAAAATATATTACTTAAAATAATATTTTTTGGCACGTGCATTGCACATGTATATCGAGTCATATGGTATATGATTTTCATAAAATAGTATCAATATATATAAAATAAAAGTTGAATAAATAATTATACACGAAAGAATAAAGCATAAATTTTTGCGAATTATATGCTGACTTGTTCGTTGAGGGTAATTGAATATCATTTGAATCTACGAAGATAAACAATTAAAGTTTAATCAATTGTTAACACTTTATCATGTTAATCGTTAATTAGCTTCAGTCCACCATTTAAACTCATAATTCATACTGAATGAAAAATGTTTTGATTTTGCAATAGCAGATTTTTATTAGTCTTAAATTTTCAGCAACTACTTGGTGACAAATTTCCTAAGAGGTCATGTTTCACCATACTAATTTAATTAGTACTGATTTATGTAAATTTATTTTTAGGAGAAACAAATTAGCAATGAAAAATATTACCAAAATTATGAAGAATATAGTAAAAAATGAAGAGATCACTATTGTAACTCTCTTCAAAGAAAACACCAGCCAGAAATTTTTTATTGAGGGCTTGTCATATGGATATGCAATGCAAGTATAAAAAAATCTTAGAGATCTGAGCAGTGAAGTTAGCGCACAAACTAAAAGTACAATTGCAGCAACACTAAAATAGGATTAACATTTTCAATGCATTTGTTCTTGGTAAATTATGGAATAATGTTCTAAAGGCTGTATATACATGTTAAATATTAGACACACACACTGAACGAAATTGTGGACATCGAAAAAAGCTACAGATAAAGAAGTTTAAGCTAACAGAGTTTGCAAGACATATTACCTTTCTTGTGATTCCGAAAATTAGATGAAGACAAATTTGTTAGAGAGCTATGAAACTATTTGCACTAATAAAGGCAATTGCCAATTCAGAATTGTTTCAAGCATTTTTTTACATTATTTTATATGGTTCCTCCGTTCTAACACAATAAAGTTCTTCGTTTCCTTATCTGTTGTGCATGTTCTTTGATTCAACACTTTGATGATGTCTCTTTAGCCACGCGAACTTTTCATCCTTCTTTAATGTGCTTTCTACTTTCCATAATTCTAAGAGAAGAAATTAAAAGAAAAATGAAAGAAAAGAAGAAAAGAAAAATCATGTTAGAGACATTACCGCAACGTCCCTATGTATAATTTTGGAGGAGTTTTAAGTATTCTAAAGACTCCACATTTGTACTTCAGTTGCTTAAAGGAAAATTATGCATAATTGAAAGCCATTTTCGTACTTTTCATAAATGAAATTAAAGTTGTCCTTGCCTAGAAAATGATATAGGAACATAAATGCCTCTTCCAAAACTAATCGTTTCTAATTCGGCGCCTTCGGGGAAATGGCATGTGTGACTTTTATAATATCATGACATCCTTGACAAAGTTATAGTGCGCGTGTGACATATTTACCAATGGCCATCCATTTGGTGCTAAATTATGCCAACGGTTACAACTCATCATTTTGGACTTTTAAGGTTTTTTTATAAGTAAGTTATTTATGTGAATATCAATGATTTTAATAATTTAACTTTTAAATTGTGGGGTTCCCATTTTTAACGTGATAATTTTTTTCCTTCACGTAAACAAATAATTGGAAAAAACATAAGGAGATCATACTTATCTCTCTTTCTTAATCTCCAAAATTGACCAAGGAAAGAAATTGAACTAGAAACACATTATTATGGTTGTAATCTATGGATACTAAATTAAACCAGCATATGCGATGAAAAAAATACAAAGTCGTACTTCAACAGATACCAAGTAATGTAATTTACTTTGATTTAATATACACGAAAAATAGTCAATAATTCAAAACAACACAAAATTAAATTGGATATAAAAAATAAAGAATTCATACCCTTTGTGTCATTTTCAGCCACAAACAGCGGCAAGATTCATCAGGTAATTTCCTAGAGTCAATGCTGTCAATAGTGAGAGCACACAAAGAACTGGTAGAAATTTAGTGTCGAATATTTATGCGAAAAAATTAAAGTTTAATAACAAAAAGGGTTTATAAACAAGTCTTGTAACAAGTGAAATGTTAGATGGATTTTTATATATAGGAGGGTTGCGCTTCAGTTTTGTTCATCGTAAATGATTGCAAGAAAGGGCACGGTTAAACGACACTTTTCATTATTAATGTGAAATGTTTAACATTCACAATTCTTCAGAATAATTTTGTCCTTCTTCTTATTTATATATTATATTTTTTTTAAAGTAAGATAATTAAATTTTTAAAAGGGTAAAAAAATAATTTAACTTTTGACTTAAGGGCTTCCCACTTTTAATATAGTATAAATAAATAATGTAGTGAACCTATATGTTGTGGATGAATCTGGCCCCCTTATTGAGTGTATTCCCAATATTGTTAATTATAGTGAATCATTTCAGATTTTAGATAAAGCTGGTATTGACTGTACCTTAAGTGAAATGGGTTCTGACTCTAGTTCTAATTCTGAGGGATGTGATTCTGAAGGATATGATTATGAAGAATTACATTTACTCAAAACTCAAAAAAAGAGAGACATAACTGAGAATCTAAATGATTACAAGGAGATATATAAAGCCATGGCCTTTAAGGACATACCAGAAGCTAGGAAGTTTATGAAGTTGTATGTTCTAGCCAATAAGAAAGTCTTAAAATTGAGGAAGAGTGACAAAAGGAGGGTTAGATATAGATGCATTGTGGGATGTCACTTTCTTTGTTTAATATCCAAAGATGGTAATGCAGGGGTTACTGTAAAGACATTAGAGTCAGAACATAATTGTGGCACTACATATGATAATAGTACTGTTGATTTCAATACCATTGCACATTACTTTAAGGGAAAGCTACAGGATAATCCTAAGTATAAGGTAAGGGAGATGGTACTTGATTTGAAAAGAATTTTTGAGTTCAATGTGAGTCATGGGAAGTGCAACATAGCAAAAAAAATGATATTGGAGACCTTAGATAGAAGTTTTGCAGATAAATACAACAAACTTAATGTTTATGTCATTGAATTGAATGGGAAGTGCAACAAACTTAATGTTTATCCAGGTAGTGATGTAGTGATTAACATTTCAAAAAATGCACTTGAAAATGGGAAAACAAAATTCTTGAGGATGTATGTTTGCTTCAAAGTTATGAAGATGGAGTTCAAGTTAGGGTTAAGACCATTTATTGGTGTAGATGGCACATTTCTAAAAGGGAAAGTCAAAGGTCAATTGCTAGTTGTTGTTGGACAGGATGTACAAAATCATGTTTATCCTTTGGCAGGGGCAGTTGTTGATAAGGAAACAAAACATTCTTGGAACTGGTTCCTACAATTACTTCAGGGATCTCTAGACCTTAAGGGACGAGAAAGAATCACCTTCATGTCGGACATGCAAAAGGTAATTTTTCTGAATCACCTTTATTCTGTCCAGTTTCTAGTTCTGATTTTTTTTCTTTCTGTTGTCAACTTAATTCTGTCCAGTATCTACTTCTGATTTTTTTTCTTTTTGTTGTCAACTTGATTCTATCCAGTTTCTACTTCTGATTTTTTTTCTTTCTATTGTCAACTTGATTCTGTCCAGTTTCTACTTCTGATTTTTTTCTTTCTGTCATCTACTTCTGTCCATGGGTTAATTGAGGCAATTAAAACTGTTCTACCACAAGCACATCATAGGTTTTGTGTTAGACATATTGAGGCTAACTAGTGCAAGACATACAATACTGGAAAATGCAAAAAGAGCTGATTTGGTGGTGTTCATGATGCACTTATGAAGAAGAGTTCAAAAATCAACTAAGCAAGCTAGGAGAGTTGAACAAAGATGCAGCAAAAAGTTTATTGAAGTACCTATCACAGTCTTGGTGCAGAGCTTATCTAGATACAATTTGTAAGAATCAGTCAGTTGACAACAATTTGACTAAATCATTTAATTCATGGATTCTGGAAGCAAGACAAAAGCCAATTATTAAGATGTTGGAAGACATAAGACTCAAAGTTATGAACATGATGACAAAACAAGCTAGTACATGAAGCAATGAGTACAGTCAAAGGAGCCTAGAATTATACAATAAATTCATGGAGATTGCTCAAGTGTGTAAAGTTAATTCCAATGGAGAAGGAGGATATGAAGTTAGTGAAGGGTCTAACGAGAATTATGTCAACTTAAGCATAAAGAACTGCCCAAATTTTTTCTGCATTAGGGTCTGTTTTAACTATCCAGATTTTTTGTCATAACTGCCCAGTTTTTATTGCATTAGGGTCAGTTTTAACTGTCCAGATTTTTGGTCATAACTGCCCAATTTTTTCTGTTTAAAACAAACTGACCAACACAATAAATCTAAAGAATTCAAAATGCATTCATGAAAATTTACACAAAATGCCATAGTGCATTGCACAAAATTCATTCATGAAAATCTGGATTCATTACAAGCTGACCAACAAAAAACATTCATTAAGATCTGGATTTACAACAAGTAACTACATTAAAACCTTACTGCACTAAACAAAATGCTGAATTCATTTCATCATCAGTGCCACAATAAATTCGACTAACAGTGCAAATGAAACCATAATGAACATCTTCATGTGCATCATTTTCACTTCCATCCCCCTTGCTTTATTCACTTCAACATCATTTATAGCCTCCAAAACATCAACTTTTTCCATCAATTTGTCCATTTCAAGCTTGCACGCATCCAACAACATATTCAACGTCCTGATTTTGACATTGGCAACATTTAATTTAGACTTGAAATCGTTGATTACTATCAACGCTTTGTCCGGAGGGATTCGTCTTGTCATTCCCAATATCCACATGTCTCATTCTTACAAATATAAACAATAACTATGTTAAAGAACAGAAAAAATTAAAAAACAGAAAAAATAAAACTTTAAATACATCAACGTTTAATGAGTCACCAACAAAATTTACACTTACTTCTGGTTTAGCACACTTGTAGAATCTCCTTTCGGGGTTGTTTGTAGTCGTCGAAGTGAAGCTGTTCGCAATCTCCCCAGAGTAGCACCTCCTTCTCGATGTAATGCTAGAACTAGACATAGAAACAATACTATCAGAGTTGATTGGTCGAAGAAAAAGAAGAAAGAATTTTAATTGAGAAGTTTAGTTGAGAAGAAGAAAGAATTTTAATTGAGAGGGAGGGACATCTACTGAGAAGGAGCGAACAAATTAGGGTTCACACGTTAATAAGGGTGAAGGGTCTAGAAGGGTTAGGGCCGGGTTGGGTAATGAGTTAGGTCGGACCCATTATATATTTAATCGGATGGTTTTAAGCTTGCCACATGGCCCTTCCATTAAAATAAGGGCATATATGTATAATAATATAACGTCAGGGGTTTGGATGTCCTAATAATATAACTGAGGGCTTTTTTAAACTATTGATGATAATAGAGAGACAGATCAGGCCATTTTCCGTAAATTAAAATAGCTGCTCAAGTTCAATATAATTGTTTGCCATGGTGTTCTTCCAAATTTTTTAAAAGTTTGTACAAACGTCACAAGTCTTAATTCATCCAAAATCTACGTATTCACCGAAGGATTGGTCATTATGACATATTCTCCGCCAGTTTTTATCCAACCAAATTTACCCTAATCCACTTATTTGGAGCCCTACAAATATAGTAGTTTTTTAAAAGGAGGCGGCATTGGCAAAGTGTTTTACCTGGGGTGGCACATGTGTAACTCACAAGCAACGTGATATAAATGATAATAGGTGAATTGAACTATAATTAGACCCTAAAGAACCACCTTCTTGTATAGTTTTTATGGTATAAAATGATAACAAAATTCTCTGATTAGTGCTTTTCATGCTTTGCAGGCTATATACAATAAAAGAAGTATATGGAGTACTTTTGGGATCAATTACGGAGAAAAAGAGGACAATCTTATAATATCCGCTAAGTGCACCACGCGAAGGCAGCAAAACCAGAACTGGAGATAGACTGTCGCGGTCCCGACGTAACCGCAGTCAGACTACGGCAGAAGGCTGTTACGGATTCTGAGAGGCTATTTGGCCGCGGTCCTGGTGTCACACCTCCTTTTTCTGCCCCCGCGAGGGTACAAGGAGTTTTTCCAATTAAAGGACAATCGAAACGGGATTTGTTTATTTATTTCAGAGTCGCCACTTGGGAGATTTAGGGTGTCCCAAGTCACCAAGTTAATCCCAGATCAAGGAAAAGAATGACTCTGTATTACAGTCCGCGAACCAGAAATCCGGATAAGGAATTCTGTTAACCCGGGAGAAGGTGTTAGGCATTCCCGAGTTCCGTGGTTCTAGCACGGTCGCTCAATTGTCATATTCGGCTTGTTTATCTGATTTTATACAATTATGCGTTCATGTGCAAGTTTTATCCCTTAGCCGCTTTTATTATTTTGTATTTATTGTTATTATTTTACAGAGAATTGCAACATTGTGAAAATGTATTTCAAACCACGTCACAATCAATGCACCCGTGGTTGTTGGCACATTTCAACTCTGTTGAGATTTGGATTTGGGTCACATAAATGTGCACCCGAGTTTTAAGAAAATTAAATTATTAAAAGGCGTGCCTAAAGCGACTAGCGTATCATTTACTTTGGGTAGGGCCNACCAGAAATCCGGATAAGGAATTCTGTTAACCCGGGAGAAGGTGTTAGGCATTCCCGAGTTCCGTGGTTCTAGCACGGTCGCTCAACTGTCATATTCGGCTTGTTTATCTGATTTTATACAATTATGCGTTCATGTGCAAGTTTTATCCCTTAGCCGCTTTTATTATTTTGNGGAAAGAAGATGAAGATCAGTAGAAGTAGCAGTAGTGTAAATACACAGCAACAACAACAACCCAGCAACAATTCGACCCAGGTTCAGGGCCCAGAAAACTTTGAAGAAAACCGAACAACTCAATAGAACAAACCCAAAAGTATGTAAACACACTAAACAGCAACAACCCACGCGTGTATTAAAACCCGAAACTAAACTCGTTTCTCACTTAGTTTTTGTTTTCTCTTTTTAAACTCTATCACACTCTCTTCAGATTTTTCAGAATGTATTTCTCTCTCAAAAATGTTCTCCCCCAAAAATCCTTCTTTTTCATTCAATCCCCTCATCCCCCTTTATATACAAAGCAAGACCCAATCTTCTTCCACTATGTGCACACTTTAACTTTTATTATTACCCACACTTTTACTTTAGTAAAAGTAGTCAACGTGGGCCCCCCGTGTTTCCTCTTTTTGAAAAGTAGTCAAAGTGGGCCCCCATGTTCTCTCTTTTTGAAAAGTAGTCAAAGTGGACCCCCTTGTTCCCTCTTTTTGAAAAGAAGACATCATTATCCACCTTTTCCTTTTTGCTTTTATCATTATGTCTGGTCCCCACAATAATTAAATAACCTATAATTGGTTAATTCCCGTTTTACCCCCTAAAACTACTGTTACGCCCCGATTCAAAATCTGTTTAAACTTCAAAAATTATCTAAGAACTTAAAATTAAATTACCAGCTATAACCAATCCTTAATCCAGTTTAATCAACAAATTCAAACTTAAACGATGAACAACAAAGCAACAATCAGAATTATTTTGATTAAACAATATTTTTAACAACAAACCTATTTTCAGATTCAACAACAATAACAAACAAGTATATTCAAATCATTGAGCTCAAATTCAAATTAAACTTAAACAAAACAAATAAACATATTCAAATCACTAAACTCAAATAATCAATTGATCTTCAAATTAAATCCAACAACATTACAACCAAGATGAATGATTCAAACTAAATCAAAAACTAAGGACCAACACATAAACACTCACATTAAATCACTTGATAAAAACTAACAAGCTTCAAACAATAAAATGAACACGAATTAAATCTAAATTAAACAACAAAGATGAATGATTCAAACGATTAAACGAACATATTTCTATATTAAAACTAAATCCTTTTAAATTAATAAAACAAACTGAAGAAATAATTAATTGAACTTCAACTTAAATCTAACAACATTACAATTAAACTAACAATTTCTACCTAAAACATAAACAAAATAAATAAATAAAACAAACTGAAGAAAAATAAAAAAAAATGATAAACACGAATTGGTTAAACCAACTAACCGGATCGGAATAACGACGAACTCGAACGGAAACGGAAAACTTGAACCAAGACTGCCAACAACCTAACGGATTTTGACTTCAACGACAACCCACATTCTCTTTTAACCTCGACGAACTCAGAACGACAAACGACTGTGTATGAACTATTTCGACAACCCCAACCAAAGCTTCAAACAAATGACGATGCTATTCTGTGGATATAGCAGAAGCGACGTTACTGGATGCTACTGGACGACGATGGTCGTTTGGACGTGACGACGACGAAGAAACCGGTGAAGCTAGCTGAAACTTGACGATGGTTCGACGCTCGCCGAAGAAGATGAAGCTGGAGCAGAAGAAGCAGCAGTCATGGGAGGTTGGAGCTCGACGGACTATGTTTGTTCAACAGATGGTCGTTTAGGTGGACGTTCATGGCTGGACGTGGAGGAGTAGGCTGTC